ACTGAGCTGGCCAGAACCAACTCTTGAGAGAATCTATTCCACATTTTCACAACCCTTACTGTGAAGAAACCTTTCCGTGTTTGGAGATTGAATTTCATTTTCCTCCAGACGTAAAGCGTGCCCCCTTGTCCTCTGTGATGACCTCAGGGTGAATAACTCTACACCGAGTTCACTATATATAACCTACAAAGTTAACAGTCTGTTTGCCTTTAGTAAATCAACCCAATCACTTCACCATCACCTCTTATCTTAAAGGATAGCTACACCCAAGAGTAAAAATGGAATATATTGTAGCCTACCAGTCCTTAGATGTGGCTGCTAAATTTGGGCTGAACACCCCCATGTTTGGTTCACATTGAACGTTCGAACCTAATGAACGTTTGACTGCGAATTTAAAACTCAATATAAGTCTATGGGACTCAAACTTGTTAATTCAAAAGTGCCCATTTTGAAGGCTTATATGCAAGTTATTGGCCATGAAAGGAATATGGGATATACTGCCCTGAGGGACTGGAATCGGTGAAAAACAAATTTCAGAAAGTACAATTTTTAAAGGGGCAGTCATTTTTCATTTCTTAAAGTAAAAAAAATGAAAAAATTCCTTTAAATATACCCGCAGAAAGTTGCACATCTGTACAAGTATAGAACATGCTGCAGCAGGACTGACATTTTTTATTTTTTTAAATTACAGTTTTATTAAAAAAACCATTGTGGGGTCCTCCCCCCTCCCACACCCCTAATCCATACCAGACCCTTTAGGTCTGGTAGGAAGGTTAGGAGGGATCCCACAGTAAAAAAATGTTTTTAGAAGTGCGTGGGGTTCCCCTAAAAAGCCATTCCAGGCCCTTTATGCCTGGTAGGACTTTTGAGGGGAACCACACCCTCACAAAATGGGGGGCAAGTGTGGGGTTCCTCCTAAATTCCTACCAGACCCTTGATCCGAGCACAAGCCTGGCTGGGCAGGAGGGGGGGGGGGGGGCAATCAATTGCCCCACCTGAGGCCCTGCAAGGGTATAGATTGGGGAGAGAAATCCACAGGTTTTTTTTTAAATGTATATTTTGTTTTATCCCTATTTTTTTATGATTTTTTTTATTATTATTTCTGTATTTTTTTCTTCAGGCTTTGTCTTTGGCCTAGCATATGACTCTCACATTATGCTGTGATTGGCCAAAGCATTGCACCTGACCTGTGCTCAGGTGCATTGCTTTGGCCAATCGTGGCTCTCACAATGTACTGTGAGAGCGCAGTACGTTGTGGGGTGCTCGGTGGGCAAACAGCCCGCCAATCACCTTTATAGTTTGTGTGTTCGGCGAAACACACAAACAGAACATGTTCAAGTCAAACTCACATTCGAGCCCAAACATCGAGAACATCGAGCCCAACACTAGTGGCTGCATTCATTTTCTTTTTACAGGCTAAGAAAAGTTTCAGCAAGTACAGAAATACCTGTTGCTCTTACCAGAATGCAGCGCCCTTGTCACTTACTATGAGATGATCTGACAGCAAAACGAATCTTCTCTTTTTTGTGTAAACTACTGCTGGATCAACTGTGAGTATAGGATTATAACTTTTTTTTTTCTATGGTTGAACTGGATGGACTTTTGTCTTTTTTCAGCCAGACTAACTATGTAACTATGTTCTAGTCTCACCATCTGCCAAGTAATGGGGATGAACAACGGCAGACATGGTTGAAGTCCAACTTGGGTGACAACCATGGCTCCCTCAATAGATACAGTGGAGGAGTGGAGTGTAGTCACCCAGGGACAGGAAATGTGTCATTCATAGGATCACCAGGTAAAAAATGTCTTACCCCAGGTTCACACCTAAGCGTTTTCTGCAGCGTTTTGCAGAAAACGCAGTACAGTCCATTTCACATGATTTCCTATGGGACATGTTCACATCTGTGTGTTTTCACTCTTTTTAAACGCAAAAAGTTGTGTTTTGGTTCTGGAAATGCTGCAGAAAAGTATGCATTTTTGATGTGCTTTAAATCTGCCTAAAATATATAATGTGAAAACCTACAGCGCAATATGCCTATCCAAATATGTATAATAAATAAAATATAAATATTGCAGCTAACATATACAGTGTTCCCACATACAAATACTAATATACAAAAAATGTAACGCAATATTATAAAATAAATACATATTAAATATGCATAAATCTTGCTCTGCGACAATAATTAAATAACCGTATAAGTACATATTCTGTGCTCAAAATGTATTGCTTTAAATACAACACAATAACGCACACTTCCTCATAATACCATGCGTTATCTGAATTCTATCCACTGTGCGTTTATCTAACAATAGTGTCCCAATATAAATCTTGGTGAACCGTCCCTTTAAGACTCAGTGCTCTAAGTGCTAAATGTGCAATTTCTCCTCTGTATATATTCATCCAGTGATATCATGTGACCCCCAGTGTTGGTTCCACCACCGACACACTTATGCGCTCACCTTCTGGTTTGACCCGAGCCGTCAGGTCAAACCGCGCATTTCCCTTTAACCCGGGCGGGTATACTGGTGTATCAATTTCCAACTCCTCCTGCACCTCCAAACTCCAAAACGCACCACTTGGACATTGACCCGAACAGCCAGATAAAAAGTGCGCCTTTCCCTTTGCTGGTATATATATCCAACTCCTCCTGCTCCTCCAAACTCCAAAACGCTCAACAGAAAATGGACAAAATGCTCCAGATGGTGAAGTATATCAAATCATTGTAAACTTTATTAAAACTCTTAAAATCTCCCACTCACATTTATTTGTGTTCTTCTGGGACACTACAGGATCAATATCTCTTTGTATAATAATTTTGTGAATGAAACTGCATTGGATCCCGTATCCAAGATGGCGGTACGTACACTTCCGGTTACGGCTTGACGTCATCGGCGTGCCCTACGTCACATTTTGAGCACAGAATATGCACTTATAAGGTTATTTAATTATTGTCACAGAGCAAGATTTATTATTATTATTATTATACAGGATTTATATAGCGCCAACAGTTTGCTCAGCGCTTTACAATATATAATGGGAGACAATACAGTAACAATACAGTTCAATACAAGAGGGATAGGAGGGTCTGATCCTTGGAGCTTACAATCTAGAAGATAGTTAATATTTATTTATTTTATAATATTGCGCTGCATTTTTATAAAATATATTAATATTTAAATCTGCCTATCAATAAGAAAAATAAAAAAAAAAAAGACGCAAAACACATAAAAAACGCAGGTGCAAAAATGCAAAATACAATGCAGAAACGGCTAAAGCGCAACCTGTATAGGTGTGAACCTAGCTGTAATGACATTCCCGGGACCTGCAGAGTACAACCACCCATTGCGATCCATTCGATGAGGCAGCTGTACACGGCTGTGTGCCGGGTTGGTGTAAAGCCCCCTCATGAGCACTGACGTATGCTCCAAACGCACACCATCTACACTTAGAACATACATCAGGGTTCATGTGGGTGATTTACGCAACCCTTGGCGCCCAACCACATACACCTCCCAAGAATGTCATTACGCAGGCTCTATGGCCCCTGTATGGTCCTGTGTATGAATCCTAACATTTGTAGACACATATGTCTCAGTAGGGAATACAATTGCAGCTAGGATGCCGTTGAAAATAATTTAATTCAATCCAGCCACTGGTGTGATACAAGCATGGCCATCTCATCGTCAAATCAAAGCATCAATTACACGGACACAGAATTTATTTACAGCACAATGCAGATGGAGTTCATAACAAAGGAAAACATTTACAGTGACAGGACATAAAAGTGCATAAACCTTCCACAAACACCACCTGTATAAAAACAATGAATATATTCAACAATATTTACAAGCATATAAAAATATCCAGACTCTGGGTTTCCTATAATCGGATGCCTTCTGGAACATTTATTTTGTAACACTTCATCATCGCACTGAATAAAATGGGCCGGGTTCTTGGATGTATTTACTATTATAAAAAAGCACAAACTAGTGCATGAAGTAAAAAGGGGGTACTAAAGAGAAAAAAATGCACCCTGAATTTCTCTCAGCCCTGGATCGCTCTCCTTACAGCAAGACTCACACTCCTGCTGGATGGAGAGATCTACTTCTAACTCAGGCCATGTCAGACCTCAGCAGAGAGACCACTGCTTCCACACAGAGGGCAAAGGCTCATCTCTTTAATATGCTGGCAGGGGCGGGCATTTTTAGTCAAGCTGTGGCTGCTTTCCAAAGACAACAAACTGTCAAATTTAGTACACTTTTTGTTTGGGACATTTCCTATGAAAGATCTGATCAGCTGTCTGGGAAGTGTTAATATTTTTCCGCTGCTCTAACACCTGACATTAAAAAATATTGGCAAAACTATCACCAAAATGAAAATGGACTTAATCTGAAATAATGGACCAAACCATGTGCACCCAAATTATACTCTGGTGATGGCTTCCAACCGTCTCACAACATACACTGATAATAGCTCTGGCAGTGTTTTCCCCCAAAGAGTATCTAAAGCCAAAGGTTTCTTTTTATTGCTGTGTAAAGTGCGGAAGGGCTAGATCCCCTGTTGGGTTTCTTGTTTTGTCAGTGGCCTCAGCGGGGAGATTCACACTGTGTCCCGGTGACCACTGTCCATTACGGTAAAATCCAGAAATTGAACTGGAACAGGAATAAAGGGAAATCTTCCAAAGAGGAGCCCCTGTTCTGGGGACAACCTTCTAAGAAGGATTTCTCTTTTTTTTGGAGAGAATTTTTTCTGTACCTTCTGTTTTGTCTCCGGGACTGGAAGTAAAGGAATTTTTTCCCCAGTGAGAACACAGATGGCAAAGAAAAATAGCCCGACGGGTGTTTTAACTGTCTTTATTAAAAAAAAAAAAAGCTTTGGCTTTAGAAGTTCTTTAACTTAGGCTTCCCATGATTTTCCGCAACTGTACATCTACAAGTCCCAGCATTTCCTGCTTGCCCCGGTCTTACACAAAGGTGGCTTTATATTTTGTTTCTGGTTCTTTGTTCCTGTCAGTCTTTGCAGTCACCATTGCTGGTAAGTCCGATGTCCTGTACACCCCAGTCCGCATTCGGCCTTTGCAAGTCTTTAGCTCGGAAATGTACCCCTCAAAGCTTAGATTGGCCACATCGTCCCTGGAACCATTCCTCCTTGTACTCGGCTTCACCCCATCTACGTCAATGACTCTTCCGGCTGGCAGAAGACAGCTTGAAGGGTTACACTGCTTGGCAATTTTCTCCTTGGAACTATCCAGAGATTGCTCCCGGAAGCTCTCTGTGCTCCGTGACAGACTCTTCTTCTTGTCCCTGGTACCTAACAATGAGCAGAAAAACAGACTTAGCAAGCTTAGGGAAAATAACCCCTCATTACAAGAGTGTCATAATCTCCAACACAATTAATGCAGGCCACAGATGGGACATTTATTGGCCAAATTGTCGGCCGAACGAATTTCGTGGTTCTTCTCGTTTCTTTTTATCGGTCATGCTGGAAAATCTACGAAAAACGGTAGTTTTTCGTAAGCATTGGTGGCAGCATTAGCGGCAGTAACAACCAAGTTTTTGTTTATCGGCCGACAATTAGGCCGATAAACATCCCATCTATGGCCTGCAAAAGTCACCGGTCACACTGCTACCATTTAAAATCGTGCAATTTGTGTGCAATTTTAGCGTGATTTAAGGTGTGATTTCTGAAGACTTTATTACTGCTTGTTAAGATTTCCAACGATTTCTTGCAATTTGCAGTGCAATTTCCATTATATTCTATGTATGTGAAGACTCAACAGAACTGAAAAAAAAGAAATGCAGCAAATTGCAAATGTTAAGACACTGACATTCACATTCATTAGATGCAATTTCAGGTGCAGTTTGAATTCCCAAATTGCACCTGAAATCACAATGGCATGACTGGGCACTAAATGTAATATCTTGTTATTATTGCAGTGTTTATAATTGTTTTAGATGTTTACTTTTCCATATTTTTCTTATATAGTACCATAGATTAGCCTCTAGAGGGAGATCTCATTGGTGCAGGGCAACTTCTCTCTCTCTACAGTTTTTTGATATAAGATAACAGACATGCAGAGAATGCGCTGTTTTCAGTAACTCATCTGACTTGTTTTGTGACAAAGCACAAAAAAACACAACTGTGTAGCAATTTGAATCAAGAAACAGAGCCTGCGTGTGTAATGAGCAAATACTGTAAGGCAAAGTCTTTTAAAATATTAACTCAGCAAACTGATTTATTACCTGTTTATTTAGGCTCCATGCACACTGGCATTTTATTTTAAGCTCAAAAAATGCTGGATAACAAAACGCTGGTAAGAGTGTTCATAGTAGTGTTCAGAAGCAGTCAGGAGTGTTAGCGTATTATTAGCATTTTTACAGTACATGTAGAGGGGAAAAAAAAGCTAGAAAAAAACTGTTAGGAGTGTTTTAGCAGTGTTTAGTGTTTTTTTTTCTGCTTGAAAAAGTATAAAAAAACATTTTTTTGCTGCTCCTAGATGCTGAAGCTCAAAAAATGCTAATAGCCTAAAGCAATGTGGAATGGACACATAGGAGAACACTATTTAGCTTCTAAAAGCAGAAAAAATGTTAATAATAGCTTCTAGGAGCTTAAAAAAAACCCGCTAGTGTGCATGGAGCCTTAAAACATCTGAAAAGACTATACATTCCATTTAAAAAGAATCATGCAAGATAGATTAAAGCCCAATTCCAGGCTCTTTTGCCAGATGTCCAATTCCCTCTCCCCCAGTTTGTAATTCTACTTTTTTTTAAACATTTATATAAAAATATTTAATATAAATTTTATTTATAATTATATTAATATAATGTTATTTATTAATATTATATTATAATAATAATATATGTCTGGTCACATGACATGCAGGGTCCTGATGTCATTGTCACTCTCTGCACCATTCCACTGTGAATGATGCTCTGCACTCACTGTCTTTCCTCAGTCTTACAGGTTGAATGATGTTGGCCATTAATTATCCTAGACAACTGAGGACATCTTGTGTCAGAAAAGGAGTACTGCAGGTTCCAGATTAGAGGTCAGCATTCAAACTTGAATTGTTGGGGGTTTTTTTTTTATTGACTGGGGAACCATAGGTTAACAAAATATCTAGAAAAAAAGTTAGCAGCTGTCTAGAGCAAACTGCAAAAAAAGGGGGGTATTTTAAATTCAATGCAGAGTAAACGATAAACATCAATAGTAGATGCAAATATTTTCTTTATTTTGATCATTAAGATCTTATGAAAGGGTGGGCATTAGACATGGTGAACACACAGTCAATCAAAAAAGTAAAAACAATGAATATAAAAAACAAAAAAACGTCCTGTGCCTTCACTTAGCTGTATCATGTTGATTCAATAAATGGCTGGGAAACCGTTATTTTGATACAAAGTATTCTTCATATATGGAGGATAATAGTGATATATGGAGAGTCCGCTTTCATAGTATTCTTAGTGATTCTATCGTCATCATTTCGATTCTTTGCTGTTGTCCAATAACAAAATATCTAGCCTGGAGTTTAGCTTTAACTGCCGCCTGCCTGCCATATAAGGTAATGACGGGCGCAAGGTGGTTCTCTCATTCTGGGAGGACGTCATATGACGTCCTCCCATTCTAACCGCGCATGCGCGGCCCCGGGAGCGCGCAGCGCGGCGATCGGTGGTGCGCTGTGTCCATCGGACACAGCGGATCACTTATCAACGGAAAGAGCCGAAGATGTCAGCTCGGTCATGTGATCAGCTGTGTCCAATCACAGCTGATCACATGTAAACAGGGAAATGCCGGTTATCAGCATTTCTCTCCTCATGAGCTGTCACGCTGACAGAGGAGAGGAGAGCCGGTAATTGCATTACTCAGAGGGGACATGTACACTGATCATCAGGGCACTAATGATCAGTGTGCCCTGATGATCAGTGTAGCCCCAGCAGTGCCACCTGTCAGTAGCCATCAGTGCCAGCTGTCAGTGCTCATCAGTGCCACATCAATGCCACATATCAATCGCCTATCTGAGCTGCCTTTCAGTGCCACCTACCAGTGCCACCTATCAATGCCAGTCAGTGCTACCTATCAGTGCTGCCAATCAGTGCCAGTCAGTGCCGCCTGTCCGTGCACATCAGTGCTGTCCATCAGTGCCACCAAACACTGCCACCTAACAGTGCCAGTCAGTGCCGCCTATCAGTGCCATATATGAGTGCTGCCTTTCAGTGCCCATCAGTGATGCCTGTCAATGCCCATCAGTGCCACCTACCAGTGCCTGCTCATCAGTGCCACCTATCAGTGCCCATCAGTGCAGCCTCATTAGCGCACATCAGTGAAGGAAAAAATCACTTATTTACAAAATTTTATAACAAAAACTAAGAACAAAACCTTTTTTTTCAAAAATTTCAGTGGTTTTGGTTTGTTTAGCAAACAATAAAAAACCCAGAGGTGATTAAATACCACCAAAATAAAGCTCTGTCTGTCTCAAAAAATGATAGAAATTTCATATGGGTACAGTGTTGCATGACCGCGCAATTGTCATTCAAAGTGTGACAGCGCTGAGAGCTGGAAATTGGCCTGGGCAGGAAGGGGGTATAAGTGCTCTGTAGGTAAGTGGTTAAAATGAAGCTTACATGCCAATGTGACTGGAGGAAGAAAAGATCTATTTGCCATTCTTTCATTTTAAACAGAACATCTCCACTCTCACCAAACCTGCCATGTTTGGACCCCAAAGGTGGGCCAATCTAAGTACACGGAGACTCTCACAGACTCACATCCTGGAGCTCATGCTAATGTGTCTGGCATGCATTCTAAAGGTGGTGCAGCATGAGCCAAATCCATATATCTGTGTAAACCTCGTACCTGAATTTCATGCAGCCCCTGTAGAACACACATGAGACACGTAAGTACAATCAGCAGAGTCTCCCTCTGCACGTCAGATGAGATGTGGTCATAATTAGCCCCACGTACGTAAGATAAGAGCTGTCGGTATTTTATTTTGAATTTGGCGCATCCATGGGGCCACAGTGTAAAAGTGAAGCACTTTAGAACCACCTGGATTTGGTGCACAAGTTACTGTCAGAGCCAAAAGTGTCGCAGATGTTTTTTGAATTTGTTGCAATACATTAACAAGAGGGGTTAATACCAGAAAAGCAGGGGGCAGCTTTATTGAATCCCCTCCCCCCCGTAGTATTTAATACAGGCAGGGGCGGACTGACCATTTGATAACTCGGGCACTGCCCGAGGGCCCGGGGTCAGTAGGGGGCCCCATGAGATGCCCCTGGTACCTTTTTCATAGGCTTTTTTGAGTTTAGGCAAGGACACAGGGGCCCCATGATCCCTATTGCCCGGGGCCCCATGAGTTGTCAGTCCACCCCTGAATACAGGTATTTATATAGTGCCAACAATTTGTGCACTTTCACATATTGTTCATTCACATCAGTCCCTGCCTTCATAGAGCTTACATTCTAGTCCCCATCTCACAGACAAACACATACTAGGACCAATTTAGGCAAGAGTCAGTTTACATACCAGGAAGGCTGCCATCAAGGAGCGTACAATCTAAGGGCCCTACCTCAATACACACATACAGCAAATGGAAATCGCAGCCAGTTCACCTACCAGCATGGCTTTGGTGGGTGGGAGGAAACTGGAGTATTGGGAGGACAGGCACAGGGCTTCTCTCCAGAATTCCACATTTAGGGCCAGTTCACACAATAGAAACGCAGTCCAGATGTGTTCCAGATGCATTTTTGCACATGCGCATTTCGGTACATTTTTTATGTGTTTTTGACACATTCAGGTCCGTTTTTTATGCATTTCAGTCATTTTTCTCCTCTCTTTTTCTTCATTTTAAATAGGGACATGTGCATTCCAATGCGTTTTACCGCATTCCAGTACAGTTCTGTGCAGAAAGAATGCCGCCTGTTCTACTTTTTTTTTCTACAAGCGGCACCCACTGGAACTGCAAGGACTGATGTGAACTATGACACTGACAACCATATAACCTACTTTCTGTGCGTTTTGATTGCAGAAAAAAAGCAACTGAAACGCATGTAGTGTGAACTGGCCCTTAGGACACTAGGTACTGCATTTCCTCAGTCTGAATTGGATGACAATGTAAATCAATTTATAGCTGTGTGTCAGGCTTTTTTCACATTAGCTGTATGGCTTACCACCCTCAGAAAAGCGATCCATAGTAGATCACTTTTCAGAGATCACTATAGTGCAGGTGACAGGCATTCAGGAGGCGCTATTCCTTAATGTTTTGGGGTTTTTTACTTCTATTTTTAAATTGCTAAATGGCAGTTTTACATTGCAGGATCGCTTCCCTGCTGTGAGCTGAGCGATTGGCTGGTGGTTGTGGTGCAACCCCATTGAACTCAAAGGGCGTGTTTAACCGCTTGTCATACTCTGCACCCTGAGTTAAAAATGCTGCAAAATATTGCATCGAAGCTGCAGCATGTGTACAGCACTGTCATGCTGTATTGTTACAATTCAGATGGGACTGCTGGGGGGAGTTTGAGGCAGTAAAACTGCAGCTCAGCTGCTTGTTTTTAATGCTCCTGCAAACCCACTTGAAAGAGCCCTTCGACAGCAGATGAAAAAAGTGAAATGCTTAAGTCTAGGTTCACACCTATGCAGGTTGCGTTTGAGGCGTTTCTGCATTGCGTTTTGTGTTGCGTTTTTGATACGTTTTCTGTTTTTTTTTGTTTTTTTTTTCTTGTTGTTAGGTAGATTTTAGATGCAAAATGCATAAAAAAATGCAGCAAAAACACAATACATGTTTTCCCATTGAAGTCTATAGAACCAAAAACACAACGTTTTGCAATCAAAAAGTCCCTGATCCTTTCCAAGAAACGCACCGGGTGAAAACGCGGAGATGTGAACCTGTCCCATAGGAAATCATGTTAAATGGACGTTTCTGCAAAATGCTTAGGTGTGAACCTAGGGTAAGAGAACCTGTTAGAAATTCTGAAGCTCCCACTGCTGAATTGTTTCATATGGTACATGTTCCTGTTGCCATCTTTCTTCACTACTTAGTGGGTTACTGAGCCAGAACAAGTATGGACGGATGAGTGGCGTATCTGTGGGGCTTCGTAAGTGATGCAGCTGATGGTGAGTTACTGAGCCAGAACAAGTATGGACGGATGAGACATATCAGACTGGATGTCGCTCCACTTCCTTAAACTGAACCTCTCCAAAAACCGAGTTTCTTGTCTTCCCCCAGCCCGGACAGCACCCCCCACTGACTTCTCCATCATGTCCAACAACGCCCCACAGGCCAGAGTACTTGGTGTCATTCTGGACTCCAACCTATCCTTCCAGCCCCAAGTCCAATCACTAACTAACTCGTGCAGACTCCACCTCCACAACATCGCCAAAATCCGCACGTTCCTAACCCCAGAAACCACTAAACAGCTCATCCACTCCCTCATATCACGACCCGATTACTGCAATTCCCTCCTCATTGGCCTGCCTCGCCGCTGGCTATCCCCGCTTCAGTCGATCCTGAATACGGCTGCCAGACTCATTCACCTTTCCAACCGCTCCGTCTCCGCTCTGCCGATCCCTCCACTGGCTTCCGATTGCGCAACGGATCAAATTCAAAATCCTAACACTGATGTACAAAGCTGTCCACCATACTGCCCCGAACTACATCACTGACCTAATATCCAAGTACCGCCCAACACGCACACTCCGCTCCTCACAAGACCTCCTACTCTCTAGTTCCCTGGTCTCCTCCTCCCATGCCCGCCTCCAGGACTTCTCCAGGGTGTCACCCATCCTCTGGAACTCCCTGCCCCAACCCATCAGATTATCACCTACTCTCCTCTCCTTTAGGGGCACCCTGAAAACCCATCTCTTCAGGGAAGCCTACCCCACCCCCTGCTAACTTGCCGACCTTCTCCACTTTTGCTACCACTCCATCCCCCACAGCTATCTCCTCCTGTGCCACCATCCCCTCCCTCCTAGATTGTAAGCTCGAAAGAGCAGGGCCCTCAATCCCCTCATGTTTTGCATTGTATTGTATTGTTATTGTTCTGTCCCCCATTGTAATGTACAGCGCTGAGTGAACAATTGGCGCTTTATAAATACTGTATAATAATAATAATGAGTGTTGTATCTGTGGGGCTTAGTAAGTGATGCAGCTGCTGGTGGGTTACTGAGCCAGAACAAGTATGGACGGATGAGTGGCGTATCTGTGGGGCTTTGTAAGTGATGCAGCAGCTGATGGTGGGTTACTGAGCCAGAACAAGTATGGACGGATGAGTGGCGTATCTGTGGGGCTTTGTATGTGATGCAGCTGATGGTGGGTTACTGAGCCAGAACAAGTATGGACGGATGAGTGGCGTATCTGTGGGGCTTCGTAAGTGATGCAGCTGCTGGTGGGTTACTGACTCACCAAGCAAAGTGAAGATAATGAGGAGAGCATTTACACAAACTAGTTTGAACTGCAGCTCTCATATCCATCTTTGTGAAGTGCTGATTATCGTAGGGAATCCTACACACACAAACCTATACAGTATATTCCATGGAATGACAACAGCAGAGACCTGTCATGACTCTTCCATCGCCCATCATTGTGGCTGTAGTTAAAGAATTGTTCTCCCCTCTATCAAGCAAATGTACTGCTCTCTTTCATCGATTTCAAGTGCTCATTAGGTCTCATCACTGCCTACAGTACCCACTTGTCACCAGATGAAAACCTGAAAGATTCTCTCATATAACTGGTGAAAACTGGGTAATGTAAGGCTGCTCTTACACCGTTATGTCCCCAGATAGGGCAAACATGGGTCTGTAGGTAGTTGTCCTGGGGCCCATGCCATTAGGGGGCCAAACCAAAATTGCTACTTTTATTTACCAGCTGTAAATAAAATCTGTAAATACATTATATTTTAAATTGAATAGAGCTTAATTTTATTGCTTTGTATTAGATGTGTAAGACTCAGGCTTAATGATGAAGAGAAAATATCAAAATTCCAACCAAAGGCTCCATCAGTTGGAGCCTTTTAAATGTTAGGCACCCTCTAAGGCAGAGGTCTCCAAACTTTCCAAACAAAGGGCTAGTTTGCTGTCCTTAAGACTTTAGGGGGGCTGGACTGTGGCCATTTGGCGTAGAGAGGGTCCTGACGTCAGTGGGAGCAATGACACCCCATCGTTGGTGTCTTTGGGAGGAATTGTGCTCCATCATTGTGTTATTGGGCCTGATTGTTGGGGTAATTGTGCAGAATTGTACCCCATCATTAGTGTCATTTGGGAGGAATTGTGCTCCTCCATTGGTGGCAGTGGAGGGAATTATGCCCTACTGGTGGTATTGGTGGATAAAAAAAA